GAGCTAACACAGGTGTGCTCTGCTGATACTAAGCATTCAGCATAGGTGGAGGTGCCTGGACTCATTTGGACAGTGTCTGTGAAAAAAGGCAAAAAAGCTATGTAAAGTGACAGAGCTAAAAAAGTGGCTGTGAGTGGAAGGCAAAAAGAAAAAAAAAAAAAGGAAAGCAAAACAACTGGTGTATCTGGACCAGAGGTGGCTATCATTTGAAAGCCCAAGGCCCGCTTTTTTTTTTTGTTTTTGCTCCTCATATTTTGAGAGCTGTATCAGGACAAGTTTTGAGAGTCTATAGATAGACTCTATTTCCATTGTCTTGGACAGAGAATTATGATTATAAGGCTTTCCATTAGCTGGAGTAAACTAGGTCTTGTGAGATGTGGTAAACAAGAAAGACAGAGGCTGCAGAGTATTATTGGTTCTATGCAAGCTTGACAACATTGTTTGTCCAGCAACTAGCTAGCTTTTTTTTTTTTAAGGATTGCATCCTATTATTAGGGAGAAAAAGGTCAGAAAACGTAATGTTTGTGGATTCAAGGAAAAGTGGTTTTGAAGTTAAGTTTCTCACTACTGGTGTTGTCTCTGACAATACCAATATTGCTCACAATGCAAGGAGACCCTGCTTTTCTTGCTGCCTTTCGTATGTAGAGCAAACACCATCTCAGCTAGAACTGTCTCCTTGACATAAAACGCTGTTCTTGTCATCTCTAGCTTCCCTAGGGGTGTTTCCCTAGACTTCATTCACAAGAATTTCCACATGCCGACGTGGAATACTGAAAATGCATCCCTATTCATTCCCGCATAGTCCAGCTCAGTCTATATGTTATTGAGCCTGATCACAGCATAGCATGAGGGAAATGATGCCCAGCCCCACTCCAACACCTTCTTTCCATTTGCTTTTTAAACTTGAACTGATCCCTGCCTCTCCGTTCTGTTCTTCAGTTTCCTGTTCTGGCAGGAGACACCATTTCTGTAGACTGAGCTAAGCAGCAGCTCACTTGTCTCTATTTTGTATGTGTAGTATACTAAGACACATGGTCCATACTTGACACAGTGCTGTTCTCTAAAAAAATGCAAGCACAGCCAGAAGCAAGAGCACAAAAAACACTGTCTGAAATTCTCTGGCAGCTGTTTCCCAGACCAGGACAGGTGGTGATATCATATTAAGGCTTTGGATTGTTATAAATAATCTTCTTTCTGGCAGGTGTTTTCACTAAGAGTTAATGGCTGTTGTCTACAATAATGCTGAGTACAATAAAGTTTAGAAGCATAGCTTTAATTATTCCATTTTGTGTATGTCCTTTTTTTTTTTTTTTTTTAAATTATTGCCTACCTCTGGGCTTTTCAATTACTTTTTTTCCAGCTGATTTCTCTACCTTTTTAATTATTACTGTTCATTCTGTGGGTAGAGTACAGTGGATCCTGTCTATAGTCTAATAAAAGTGCCTATTGAAGCCCTCTTTAGCATCTTATTTTTGTATCCCTTTGCTGTCTTTCATTACGGCAGCAATCTCCACTCAGTGATTTGTTAACTTGTACAGGTTTGTATATATTTAGGTGACCTGTGAAATGTTTTTTATCAGCACACACAAGCAGGGAAAAACAGGGGAAATATAATAAATATTCAGACTTTAGGCTGACTTCTGTTTTGCTGTTAATGACGAACAATCGAGTAACCCAGTTTAAGACAGCACGTGGGGTCTGAATTAAGACGTGTTGACGCACAGGTGCCTTCTAGTGGCTGGGGTTGGTGCAGAGCCTGGTGGTTTACGCGGCAGCTCGGGTATTCTCTTTTGTAATGGTAAATCCTTTCTCGTGCCGGTGATTGTCTGACAACTGTCTTTATTTTTTCTTGAATGCCTAGGGCGCTGGTATATCCGGGAAGGCTGGCTTTTGGTTGTGCCCTCAAAGGGCGAAGAATTGAAGCGCAGGATGTTCTTCCTTTTTTCTGATATCTTCATTTCAGCAAAGCCCTGCCACCCACTGCATCTGCTGAACTCCAATAAATTTGCCTGCACAGCTGTCTATCCCCTTCACCAGTGTGTAGTGGATAAAGTATTTGGCCACACTCAGAGTGAGGGAGGGCTGCTCAGTGTAAGTCTTCCTGCTTCTGCTTGGCAGAAGTATCGGTAGGTCAGATTGCAAATCAAGTCTCTAACTGTCTCAGCAGCAGCATGGCTGAGGTGGTAAGTGGTGACAGTGGTAAATGCAAGGAACTACTCTGAGTTAGGGCAGCTCTTCTCTTTTGGGCAGGCTGTCTTTTTCCCTTCATCGTTGGGCCCTGCTGAGCACTGGAATACAGGCTCCTGCTTGTTCCACATAGGTCAGCTGAGGAGAGTCTGATCACACTCTGGCATGCCCTCAACTGAGCACATGCTCGTGTCATGAGCCCACAGCCTCATGACAAGCAGTATGCAGCATTACAGTGATGTGGAATTAGTTCAGAGAGAATGCTAAAAAATAGAGAATGCAGAAATAGGATGGAAAAATAGGATGGAACAATCACAGTGGGTACTGCTTGTGCCTACAACTCTTTGAAGACTGCACAGGCTCTGACTGGGAGTAATGCCTCAGGTGAGGGTTTTAAATTCAGGTTTTTCTAGACTGCAGCACCTGGGAGGCTTTGTTGACTCATTGTTTGAGTGTAAGCTATAAATTCTTTGTCAAATTGCGTGTTTGTAGTTGGTGGTAGTAGAAGGACCTCTAGAGGCAGCTTGAAATAATAGAGAAAACTGAAAGACCAGCAGATACAGATTGGCATTGCTGACTTCCAAACACTGTTAAGTCGAAGCAAGCTGACATCTGTAGCTAGAAGTCTGGCACATGCTGTGTTCTTTCCAGCGTGTGTGCCAATGCAAAATGTTTCTAGCTTTCTGGGAAAAAAAATGGCAGAAATCAACATGCTGGACTGAATCTCTTCCATCTGTCTTTCAGCTTTCCTTCCCACACAAGACACTGTTGTTGATGTCCACTGACCAGCAAGATATTAATGACTGGCACCAGAGTCTTACAACTGCGGTCAGGTAGGCCTTTATCTTCCAGAGGGCTGGGGACAGAAGAATTATACTGACAATCACATGGACATGTGTATTTGAATCTATTATATATCTATTGTAAGTCTGATAGAGAAGATCTGACTGATAGCCAGAACGCAAGAGAGTAAAAATAATAGACTTAAATTAACAGTGGAGTTTCCCTTCATTTTCCTCCACAGGCAACTGAAAGCCTGACCCATCTGAGTACAAGACAGCCTAGCAGGATGACTGCCTCTTGAGAGAAGCCAGCATAAATTCAGGAAACATTCAGGGATGTACAGTAGGAGAGTTGTGTTTAGAGGAATACTGAGCTTGTGAGATTAGGAATGCATTGTCAGCTCTCTTAAACACCTGTGGCAAAAAAAGGGTATGCACAATCAATTTGTAATTAAAAAGACTTTCCCCCAACTTCCCTTAGTGTCTTCTAGCTTTTCTACCCCTTTTCTCTTGAGATTATTAAATCTAAGTCCCACTAGAAGAAACCTGCACTTGCTTGCCCTCATTAAATACTTTTTACCCAGATCACCACTGGCACATTTGAGCGTCTGCCTTCTCTTACTTCTCGCTTATAAATTCTTCGAATAAAACGGATGTTTTGGCTACCAGTAATGTAGACATAACACAGGCTTTTCAGCTAGTGCCACAGTGTTCCTCTCCTGACATTGATTTTTCATCATTCGTACCCTTCTGTTTTTTACCAAAGTGTTTTGAATAGTTTACCCTTCCTCCTCTGAGAAAGTGACAAGTAGGCAGATAAGGGAAAGCAATGCCTACCTCTCATCAAATCAACAAAAATTGATCTGCTGAGATAACTGAGATGAACTGATAGGCAACAGAGTCACACTTATGAAACATGGCTCGCATTTCTGATCTGAGTCCTAAGAAATGATACAGTTGAAACAGCAGTGAAAAAACTGGGCAGTAAATTCTGCTCCTGAAGCATGGTGGGAATCTGCAAAGGGATAGAATCAGCATTCTGGGGCATTAGATTGCAGAGGTTGTGCTACAGTTCAGTTTGCTGGGGCACAAGACCAATTTATGGCTGCAGTAGGCTGTTCTTGAATTAAAGCCTCAACATTAACTGTTAATATGGGGAAGCTACAGAGCAACAACAGTTGGTTCATTTCTTCAGTTATGGAGAAAATACCTGTAGATTACGTTAGGCCATCTAGTGCAAGGCATGCAATTTCTTATTTCTAATGACCTTAGAATTGCACACCCTGCAGGTGATGATCTAACCTAACCCCACCTTCAAACAGATTAAGGTCTCTGTAACATTCACTTTTCCTCTCCTTACATGATATCTCACACATTTTAAATTTCTCATTGGATTTCATTAAAACAGAAGTGAGTCTGTGGGAGAAAGCATGACTGAATTATAAGCTCTTTCATGTGAGTTAACATGTTTCAGCTAACACTTCACTAAGATTACTGAGTAGTCTTAGCTTGTAGACACTTAGAGGGAGAAAGGAACACAATGTCTCTGTATCTCTTCCCCAACTCAGAAGCTACAGCTAGGACTGAACAAATCGGGGCAAAGCTAGCAATTCCAAGTTTCGTACCTCTGAGTTGTTACATTATTGCCTGTAAAAGTTCTGCCACTATCCCTTTAAGAGCACAATAAAGAGGTTTCCTACAACTCTACACCTGAGGCTGTCTACCAAGTTCAACCACAAATTAGTTCTGGCCACATTGCCTCCTAGTAATACAATTTGCTATAGTACTGCTGCTTTTATGAACTTCAGTACTACTGTCCTTGTTTGTAGTCAGCAATGCTGAAACAGTGAAGCTAACTCGATTCTTCTCTGAGTTTCCAGTGCTGAAAGTCTGCACAGTGGCTTCTAAAGAATATGAAGTTACGTGGAGACATTATCCCAGAGTACAGGGCTGCAGAGTACAGGATCAGAAACTGGCTGGAATAAATGATTAACTCTTGCACACAATAACATAATCCAAACAGAAGCAAACTCACTTTTCAAAGTAGTTTATTTACACAGAGGACATCAACCAGTAGGGCTCACAGCTTGACTTCCTTCTCTTGTGAAGTTGCTAGTAAATCACAGGAGCACGAAGGTAAACCTTGAGCTTGTGCCCTGTTATGATCACTTAAGGCTAGGAAGGTGTCCTGAGCCCTCCCAGGACCCTTCCACCCCTGTGCTCCAGGAGAGCAGGTGTCCTGCCCTGGGATGCGAGCTCACTGCCTGGTGCACAGGCAGCTCACCCCAGGCCCCGTCCTGCTGCCCACATGGGACACGCTGGGGGCAGAGCAGGATGCCTGCACGATGCCCTCAGCGGCCTGCATCCCGCTGGGCGTCCTCCCGGCAGCCCTTCAGCAGCTGGTTGAGCAGCGTCTTATCGCTGTCACGACGCGGGCGGATGAGCGGTGGGTAGGGGTTCCCCTTCAGCTCGATCACAGCCATCTTGGCACGGTCCAGGCAGTCACGGTTGGGGATGTGCAGCATGCGGGTGTAGCTGCCGGGGTGCGGCTGGAAGCGGGGCGCCAGCACTTTGAACAGCTTGTGGACGAGATCCTTCTCCTGCGGAACGGCACGCTCAGCCCCGGGCCCGCGGGACGGGGGCGGTGAGGGGTCGGGCGCTACCTACCGTCAGCCAGAAATCCGCCATGCGCATGGCGCGCTCGTCCGCGTCCCCGCGCTTGGCGTAGTCGATGAGCTGGGGGGAAGAAGCGGGGCACGGCAGTCAGCGCCCCTCAGCCGGCGCTCCCGCCCGCCGCGGCCCGGCCCCGCCGCTCACCCGCTCCGCGTAGCCTCGCATCTCGTCGGCGCGAGCCCACGGCGCCTCGATGCGCTCATGCCGCACCAGCGCCGTCACCAGGTTGCGCAGCAGGTCGAGGCGCGAGCGCGGGCCGTGTCCCAGCAGCCGGTACACGCGCCCGTGCGAGATCGCGGCTACCAGCGACAGCCGCATCCCGCCGCCGCCGCCTCGCCAACAGGAAGGGGGGGCAGAGGGGAGGGGAATCGTCGCGCGTCAGTGACGTCACAGGCGCGACGGCGCCACGCAGCCGTCCCACGCGGGCGCGCTGCATGCCGGGAGGTGTAGTCTCAGCGTGGGGCTCGGCACGCGGTGGCGGCGCGCTGAGCATGGGAGGTGGTGGAGGCAGCATCCCCAGACGTGTTTGGGAAGCGCGGGGATGTGGCGCTGAGGACACAGTGGGCGTGGCGGGGTGGATTGGGTGAGAAGCTCTTAGAGGTCTGAACGATTCTATAGCTGTAAGCTGCGCGTGCCGACAGCGCGGGTAAGACCGCCAAGCCAGCGCTCGTGAGGCCGTGGCCGTAACGAGGTGGGTCTGTGCCTCACGGCCACGAGCACGGAACGCCGTACCCCCACGGCCGCGGTCGTGGCTGTGCGTATCGCCTAGCTCCAAGCGGGATGCTAAAAGGCAGCGTCTGGAAGCGTCCTCCTTGTTTCTCCCAGTCACTGCCGCAGGTGCAAGCAAAACTACATGGAACAAAAGCAACTACCGACAGTGTAAGAAAAAATATCTTTGTTATTACGAATACATCATAAAATCACAATCATTTTACATTTTAGTATTTTGTATATAAATAAAGTGAACAGTATAGTTACTGGAATGCGTAATAGGAACAAACATATCGATCTTCAGTGAAATTAACAAATTTTTGGACCCCATCTTTTGTTGCTTCTCTGGGGCTAAACATGTTAACTCTGAAATACTTGTGAGAAAAATGTTATTCAAACCGGGACCAAAAATAACTCCAGGGATTGTCATAATTCTGTACACAATCAATTTTCCTCTCCTTTTTCTGGTTTAACCTGACCATGTAAGAATTGTTATGTGTCAGTATTCTAGTTTTGCAAGGAAGACTAATCCCGTATGTCCCTGGGAGGTTTATGTTTTTGTTAAACCTTTTAACAGTCAGTATTTCCCCATCACTACACACTCTTGCAAATGTTTCCATCAAATATATTTCCAATGTTAATAAAATAACAACCTCTTTATTATCCTTCTGCTTATAACTTGATGTCTTAACATCAAAATAATATTTCTTTCTAATAAAACTATACATAGTATTTATACGAAACAAAGTTGTCACGTGCGTGAGCCTAGTAACGAAACTGGACATGATTATAGATGTTACTGCATTCTTCTTGGGTTATTACTTTTGGAGCTATAGAGAAATAAATAATTTATAAGCTGATGACTTTCTTCTCTCTAGTAACTGCTTAAAACTGGAGATGTCTCTTCTGATCTGTGTCTATAAAAGTTTGGGTGCGCTTAAGAAAGCTTCATTTTTGTGAGCTTCTGCATGTGTTTCTCTAGAAACTGTAGTGAAATGGTTCTGATACAATGTGTTATGCAAGTTATCATACAGGTAATGAGAAATAAAATGATAAAGTTGTGCACAGAGGTTCTCAGACACAAGGCTGATCCTTCCCAGCCAGCTTTACTCAGAGGAGCTCTCCCTGCTAGAGGCATTCCTCTGTCCTGTGGAGTGAATGTGTCTTTACCACAGCATCTTCTCCTTGCTGCTGGGACTCAGCCAACAGCACTTTGGGGCAAGGAGTCTGTGGAAAGAAGGTGAGGCACAAGGACAAACCCAAGTTGCTCTTTCCTTCACCATTTTTATGGAGAAAGCATGTATGCTGGAAAGAAACTGCTCTGGACTGTGAAAAAAAGCATGATGCTGACTACAGAAAGAGAAGTTATTGAGAAAGGCATGTAAAAATGTGCCCTATTTATGCTCTCAAGTTTGTGGGACAGCTTCTGCACTTACAACAATTTTACCTTTTTTTTCTGGTGTAGTATCAGAATTTCTCTTCCCTGAATACTTATGCAAGGCAGGGCAATTACTGCATTCCCCTGAATTCAGTTGTCAGACTGCAGGAACTGCTATTTGTATATATTCAGAAAAGCAGAGCTGAGAACTCAAATAAGTGCCTTTTTGTGTGCAGTGGGCAATAGAATTTAGTCAGCATGGAGGAAGTAACTCATTTAATTCATTGCTCAATGTCTGGTGGTTCAAACAATCGCAGCTTCTAATTCTGTAGTGGAAATCAACCTGGTCCAGAAGCTCATGGGTGGTGGTGGTGAACATATGCAAGAGTTAGATAATTTGCAACAGTTACAAATACATAGTCAGACATTTAACAATTGTACTTACTGCATATTCATGAACTACATAATTTGTACCCAGTTGCCTCTTTGAATTTTAGAAAATAATACATACATGCCTCAATTAATGCTGCCTCAGAAGTTTCTTTCAGTCTGCTTTATGTAAGAACACCCTTTCTTTGGCCAGAAGTTCCTTCCTCACGTCTCACTGATATCCCCATTACCTCCTTCGTAAGATTACTTGGATCTGCAGCTGCTGGGTGAGGTGCTTTCAGAAGAGAAGCCCAAAGACCAGAGGCTGAGAGCACTCATTTTTCCTTAGCTTAGTTTAGATCAGTGGCTTAGTCATTGCTGTGTAAATACTGATATGCGTATAGTGTGAAGAGGAATAAAGAACATTAATGTTCTAACCTAATGCTCTTGCTTGTGGCATACTGATAGTGAAAACTTGTGAAACAATTACAGGAATGAAAAAATCCTCTTAAGATAATATACAAAAGATATGGAAGGTCTCGACAGCCAGCTGTTTATACAACATGACCTGTTCTGGTGGTGTAGGGATTACACCAATTGTCTTTTGGCCAAGAGAATATGGAAGGGGATCCAAAACTTTACGGATTATTTGAAAAGGACCTCCTTATGTTTTTACCAGTATTTATTCTACTAGAACTTGCAAGCCATGGAAAACATGGCACAATAAATGCATTTGTGATGTGGACAGGACCCAGCACTAAACATCTTGTGGAAGTAGCAGCTACACAGATACAACACTGAAGTTTGGTGCTTAATATACTACTTTATCTTCTAAGCGTGGCAAAGTCCTCAGCAGCTGAGAAAATCCCCATAAAAAAATTAACGTGCATCATCCGTGAGGTATGGTCTTAACTCCTGCATCCCATTTTCCAGTGTAAAAAAAGGGCACTCCCTTTCATCCGTCTTCACAAATACAGGATGCCATGTGCAGTACCTCACCTTAGCTGTACTTGTACCATGTGAAATGTTTCGTCATGTGCACTCCTGCACCTACCCACACTCCTCATATACCCAGCCAAACACACTGCAACTCTTGTGTTCCAGTTGTGTGAATGCCATTTAGGCTGCTCTCATGCAGCAAAGGAATAAAACAGATGGAAGCTCTTTGCAAACGAGGCCTCTCTCTGGTCTCAGTTTTACTTGGATCAAATAAAATTGAGTTAGCATTTCACCAAGGAAGACAAGCACTTGCAGGAGGTCAGAATCTCGACTTTCTGCAAGGTTGAGATATTTGTGCTTGCCAATAAGCCAACTTGATTGATATATGCTTGCTTTTCCTGCTTTATCCCTGTTCTTTTGCTCATCTGTGTGAAAATGTATTCAGTATGAACCTGCTGAGAAAGAGAACTGGGTTTCACGCTAAGCAGTGAAAGAATGGTTAGTTTAGGCAAAGATGTCTTCTTGACTGCTTTTGCACAATTCTCTATCAACTGCAAGCCACATAATTTCTTGATCAACGAGCATCATTGCTTCATCTTAATTTCTTTTTCTGTTATTGCGAAGCATAACAGAAGGAGACTCCTGGCCCCTGCTGTGAAAGAGAGATCCACGAGATCCATCTTTCACACTCTCCTAAGCTTGAGGACACTAGCTGGAGACTTGCGTTCAGTGGAATAACTCATTTACAAGTATAAAGTAAATGTGAACCTAGACTTTCATGACTGATGTCTTCCAGGGATGATGTTCAGCTACCTCTCTCACCTCTCTACCCCTTGAAAAATTTGGTACTGGGTCATTTGGACACAGAACCACAGGTAGGCAGATTAGATACTGTTGTCTGCCCCACTAGCTAGCTCTTGCCTGATTCATGCTAGCCCTACGCATTAAGAAGGTTTTCCTGATAAACTACATACAGTGCACAGTGCAGGCTTGAAGGTATAGAATTACTGCAAGGAGGCCATCATGAACTGGGAAAGCTACAGTACAGGCAGCATGGTTAGGGAAAAGCAAAGAGAAAGAACAGGAAATAATCTATATATATTTTACATTGTCAGTGCATTTTTGTGACAAAGATCTCTAGAGGGGCTCTACTTTTCAGTAGGCATAGCTAAGGATGGGCTGCCTTCTGTATCCTGGAGTCTCTGGGTGCTGCCCGTGATTTGTAGTCTTCTCCAGATCCAAAATCTACTGTGTCATGATAGTTTGTAAATTCCTGAGGTAATGGAAACTCCTCTGTTGATGAATGAGTCCTCCGTCCAAACACTCTCTCCTGCAGCTCTGCGATGTCATTTCTGATGTCTGCCATCATCAGCAATAGGAAGTCAAATGAACCTGGTGGGCCCTGCAGTCACAAAGCATGGTCATATCGTATTTAAGTTTTCAAATGGGTTGATATAGTTACCCTTGCAGGGGTAATTCACTATAATACTGCTTCGTATCTACTGACAGAAATTAAATGTCCCTTTCTGAACCCACCTGCTCAGGAAACGGTTTTCAAAAAGCAAAATTGGTATGTTTTTGTTTGTTTGTTTGTTTTTTTTCCAGACAGAGCCTGGAGAAGAGGATAGAAGTACTGGTTCCTCTTATTAAACGGATAGACTACCTAATTAAAAATTCTTTGGGGAGTGCTGATGTTTGGAAGATAGTTTTCAGTATATTATCCCCACTGCTGTCTAGTACTTACTATGTTCATTGGTATTTATGATGTAGACAGTATCTACCTGTTTCTATCTAATTTCAGAATATCGTTTCTTTTTAGCTGACTTCATGCAGTAGACTACACTGTTCAATACTGAGGATGCTCTGCTGCACACTCCTAAAAATCCATTTCATGACAAACAACATCTTACTCAATTTCTCTTAAAAACAGATTATATACACCCCATCCTTCTCTTGATG